ATATTTCCAAGGCTGGTGAGTGGCTTGGAGGGGAATTTGGAGGTGGTGGTGTTCCCATGTATCTGCTGCCCTTGTCCTTCTAGACAGAAGTGGTCGTGGGTTTGGACGGTGCTGCCTGAGGATCTTTGGTGAATTTCTGCAGTGCATCTTGTAGACAGTACACACTCCTGCTCTCTCACCCTCCCTTTAAGGCACTCCCTCAAATTCATTTTCTCGGTCAGACTTTTGGTCAATTATCTGCAAAATCTTCTTATTTGGGTCAGTGCCAAATTGTGTCTAATTAACCCATAACTAATCAGGAAAGATGTGGAAGCGTTAGAAAAGGTGCAGAGGAGATTTACCAGGATGTTGCCTGGAATGGAGGGAAGGTCTTACGAGGAAAGGTTGAGACAGCTAGGGCTTTTCTCTTTAGAACGATGAAGGATGAGAGGTGACTTGATAGAGGTGTACAAAATGATCAGAGGTATAGATAGAGTAGACAGCCAGAGACTTTTTCCTAGGGTGGAGGTAGCTTTTACGAGGGGACATAGTTTTAAACTGAAAGGAGGTAGATATCGGGGAGACATCAGAGGTAGGTTCTTTACTTAGAGAGTGGTCGGGGTGTGGAATGCATTGCTGGAGAGGGTAGTGCTGTCGGCCTCATTAGGGGCATTTAAGTGGCTATTAGATAGGCATATGAATGATAGTATAAGGTAGGGGTGGAGGTTAGATAGACCTTAGGTATAGAGTAAAAGTTCGGCACAACATCGTGGGCCGAAGGGCCTGTACTGGGCTGTACTGTTCTATGTTCTATGTTCTAACCCCAGTCCCATGAGCAGCATTTTAAGAATTAAGAGGCGCCATATAAATGCAAGCTGTTGGTGTCCTTGTTTCAAGGAAAGATGGTCTAAATCAGATGGCAGTTCCACATGGTCCAGCTGACCGAAAGCTGGACATTGAATTAACGCAGTGTCTGTAACCGGCACCTGTAACTTCCTGTTCGAATGCCTCATGGATCAATTCCTTGGAAAAAGGTGATTTGACCAACATCAAAAAAAAATGAAGGTCTATTTACTTTGTCCTCTGTCATTGTGACAGTTGTATGCTACAAGAAAATACAGCAACAGCAGGAGACCAGTTTGCTCTGTAAGCGAAGCCTCTTCTAAGGATGCCTAGCCTGAAGAAGTTACGCTCCTCCGTCCGGACAAACCTCAGGGGATCTCTCTCCCACTGCAACTCTCTCGTAATCTCTTCGGGCTTGAAACTGCTCGACCATGTCCTGAAGCAAACCAGGTACTACAGCCACATCACCTTTCTTAGTACCTGCCTACAGAACCATTTCTGATGAAGGGTCTAGGCCTGAAACGTCAGCCTTCCTGCTCCTATGATGCCGCTTGGCCTGCTGTGTTCATCCAGCTCTACACCTTGTTATCTCAGATTCTCCAGCATCTGCAGTTCCTACTATCTCTGCCCAGTAAGTCTGTTTTGCCTTACACTGAGGATCTTGGTTGAACTACAACCTAATTCCTTTGCCCCAGATCTTTCTAGTATCTTTGCAAGACCATCCCCTGCCAGTGGAAAATTTATAATTAGCAATTGATCCAGCATTAATTACCGTTTGCAGAAGGCAGTCTCAAATGTCTACCACACTGTGTAAAAAAAAAAGTTTCCTAATTTCACTTTCGAAACATCTGCCACCAGAAATTACACTGCACCCCCGGGCCTATCCAGCGGAAATAATTACTCCCAGTTTGCCCTATGCATCTTCCTTCGCATCTTGTAACATTGCTCAAACCACTCCTTTCAATTCCAGCAATATAAAACTGGGTTTGTGTAAACTCGCCCTGTAATTTAACCCTTGGTGTCTGTAAGAACATAAGACATAGGAGCAGAATTAGGTCATTTAGCCCATTGAGTGTGCTCTGCCATGGTCGGTCATGGCTGATATGTTTCTCAACCCCAGTCTCCTGCCTGCTCCCCATAACCCTTGATCCCTTCACCAATTGAGGACCTATCCATCTGTGTATTAAATACACTCAATGACTTGGCCTCCATAGCCTTCTGTGGCAAGGAGTCCTACAGATTTACCACTCTCTGGCTGAAGAAATTCCTCCTCATCTCAGTTCTAAAGGGCTGTGCCTTCACTCTGAGGCTGTGCCCTTGAGTCCTAGTTTCTCCTACGAGTGGAAACATCTGCTCCATGTCCACTCTATCCAGGGGTCTCAGTATTCTGCAAGTTTCAATCAGATTTCCCGTCATCCTTCTAAGCCCTTCATTCCTGGGATCATTCCTGTAAACCTCCTCTGGAACCCCTCCAAGACCAGCACATCCTTCCTTAGATATGGACTTCAAAGTTGCTCACAATATTCCAATTGCAGTCTAACCAGAGCCTTATACAGTCTCAGCCTCTCTGCTCTTGTATTCTAGTCCTCTTGAAATGAGTGTGAACAATAAGACCATAAGACATAGGAGCAGAAATTAGGCCATTCGGCCCACCGAGTCTGCTCCACCATTCAATCATGGCTGATAAGTTCCTCAACCCCATTCTCCCACTTTCCCTGTAACCCTTGATAATCAAGAACCTATCGCTCTCAGTCTTAAATGTACTCAATGACCTGGCCTCCACAGCCTTCTGTGGCAGTGAATTCCATAGATTCACCACTCTCTGGCTGAAGAAGTTTCTCCTTATCTCCGTTCTAAAAGGTCTTCCTTTTACTCTAAGGCTGTGCCCTCGGGTCCTAGTCTCTCCTACCAATGGAAGTATCTTCCCAATATCCACTTTGTCCAGGCCATTCAGTATTCTGAAAGCTTCAATTAGATCCCCCCCTCATCCCTCTAAACTCCAATGAGTATAGTCCCAGAGTCTTCAAACGTTCCTCACTGAACCTGCATGTTAACTTTAAGAGAATCTTGAACTAAGATTCCTAAACCCTTATGTGTTTCAAATTTCTGAAGCCTTTCCCTGTTTAGAAAATAGTCTACATCTCTGTTCTTCCTACCAAAGTGCATAACCTCACACTTTCCCATATTGAATTTCATCTGCCACTTCTTTGCCCATTCTCCTAGCCTGCCCAAGTCCTCCTTGTGCATCCCCACTTCACAACACTATCTGTCTCTCCATCTATCTTTGCACCATCTGTAAATTTAGCAACAGTGCCCTCAGTTCCTTCGTCCAGATCTTTAATGTTTAACATGAATAGTTGTGGTCCCAACACTGATCCCTGCAGAACTTCACCAGTCACCGGCTGCCATCCTGAAAAAGATCTTTTATCCCTACTCTCTACCCATGCCAGAACCTTGCCCCTAACCATCATGGGCCCTTAATCTTATTTAGCAGCCTCCTGTATGGCACCTTGTCAAAGGCCTTCTGGAAATCTAAACAGATCACATCCACTGGCTCTCCTTTGTCTAACTTGTTTGTTACCCCCTCAAAGAATTCTAGCAGATCTGTCAGGCGCGATCTCCCCTTGACTAAGCCATGCTGACTCAGCCCTATTTTACCATGCACATCCAAGTCCTCCACAATCTCATACTTAATAATGGACTCTAAAGTCTTACCGATGACTGAGGTCAGGCTAAACAGCCTATAGTTTCCTCTCTCCTGCCTCCCTCCCTTCTTAAACAGGGGTGTTACATTAGCCATTTTCCAGTCTTCTGGCACTCTCTCTGAATCTGCTGATTCCTGAAAGATCACCACCAATGCCTTTACAATCCCCTTAGCTATCTCCTTCAGAATTCTCAGTATAGTCCATCTGGTCTGAGAGGTTTATCCACCTTCAGACATTCCCCAGCACCTTCTCCTTAGTGATGGACACTACACTCATCTCTGCCCCCTGACTCTCTTGAAGTCCAGTATACTAATGGTGTCTTTCACCATGATGAGTCCAGGTATTGTGATGGGAAATCTATATTACCTCCAAGGTCGATATATCGTTCTAATATCTGGATGTCATAGTTAGGATGTATGCCTGAATGTCCCAGCTAAGGTGCAGATATGAGAGCCGCAGCTAAGATGCAGCTTTGGTTGTGAAGTTGCATGTTGTTAGGCTGGGGCTAAATACCTGAGAACAGAGTTGGAGATATGACCATTGTCAGCACATTGGGAGGCCATTCAGCCCAACATGCTTATCCCATTATATTGAAGATAACTGTTCAACATCCTCCCCAATATTATGCTACTGAAAAAGAGTTGTACAGTGTCTTTAACATCATAAAACATCCCAACGTGATTCAAATGACAGTCATTCAGCAAATATTTGACACAGAACAACATCAGGCTTCTTTGCAATAGACACTAAAATGTTGGATCAGAAAAGGTACAGTTTAAGGTGGGTCTTGTTGCAGGGAGGGAAATCCAGAGCTCAATGACTCAATAGCTAAAGGGACAAGCACTGATGTTGCAGAAATGAGAATCGAGGAGATCAGAGAACTCAGATTCGGAGGAGTGCAGAAATTTTGGAGGATTGAGGGGCTGAAGGAGGCCAACACTATGGAGGGAGCTGAAGACAAGGGTGTGAATATTTTTTAAAAATATTCAGGACCTCACCAGACTGGGAGCCATCTTAGTTTCAGTGAGTACAGTGGGTATGTGGGACCAGCGTATGTTATTTCAGCATGGGACTGGGACACAGCCTTCATTTAACCATGATCGAATGACCTAATTCTGCTCCTATGTGGATGGAATGGTGGCTCAGTGGTTAGCACTGATGCCTCACAGCACCAGGGACCGGGGTTCAGTTCCAGCCTCGGGCCGCTGTCTGTGTGGAGTTTGCATGTTCTCCCCGTGTCTACGTGGGCTTCCTCCGGGTGCTCCAGTTTCCTCCCACAGTCCAATGATGCGCAGGTTAGGGTGGATTGGACGCGCTGAACTGCCCCATATTATCCAGGGATGTGCAGGCTAGGTGGGTTAGCCACGGTGAATGTGGTGCCACGGGGACAGCGTGGGAAGCTCTTCGGTGGTTCGATGGGCCGAATGGCCTGCTCCCAAACTGTCGGGATACTGTGTGCGATGGTGTTCGTACCTGTCTTTCCCCGTCTCCCTCTTGAAGAGTTCATCGAAGTGTAGCATCTTCTGCCGCGTGATGGTGTGCAGCTTGAGGCAGGGCCGAATACGCTGGAGGAGTTGCAAGTGATTATAAAGCCGACCCTTGCCATCTCTCCTCATACAGCTGCTCGGGCCCCAGAAGATGAAGACTGGGTCGCAGCTGGCATTGAGCAGCTCGCCTCCTTTCTGCAGCAGCTGCTGGATGCTGGAGTGAGCGACCACCCGTAGGCTCGTCCTGTGGCCCACGTCCTCCTGGTAACCCCACGTCGGCGCATCGTTCATCCTGATGACACACTCGGCGCCGTCGATCTCTGCTCCCTGCCCACTCCCAATGAGTTGCCCGGAGCTGGTGACCAGAGCGCAGTCCTTACAGTGGACCCTCAGACCCTGAAACAACAACAACAATAAAACCAGGCCTTAGTCAATTCTTTGCTTATACAATGAAGGCAGGCAAACATCCAAAGTACTCCACGAGATACTCCCCGCTCAGGGGTCACCTGAGAAGGAAAAATGGACAGGAAACCTCACAACATTTGACAGCATTGGAAAGGCCAAAGTAGCTAAGAATGATGGTATCATGGTAACGTCACTGGGCTAGTAATGTAGAGGCCCAAGCTTATGCTCCAGTGAGGCAGAATCAAATCCTACCACAGCCGCTGGCAAAAGGTAAACTCAATTACTAAAATCTGGAATTGCAAGTTATTCTCGGTAATAGTGACCAATGATTGTTGTAAAAGCCCAACTGACTCACTAATGTCCTTTAGGGAGGGAAACTGCCATCCCTTACCTGGTCTACCCTACATATGGCTCCAGACCCACAGCGATGGGCTTGATTTTTAACCCTCTGGGCATATAGAGCAATAAATGCTGGTCTGGCCAGTGATGCCCACATCCAATGAATGAATTAAAAACAAACCCTGCCCCAAAGATGTGTCATAACATCTCTGAGCAGGTTGCTTAGAGATATCTATAGGCCAAGTGCTGAAAAGTGGCATTGCACCGGTCAAACACATGCATCAAATCCCTTTTCTCATCCCATTTTCCAACACTTAGACCATAGCCTTGTATATCTTGGCATTGCAAGTGCACACCCAAATATTTCACAACGATACTTTGTAAGTCTACTTCAGCCAAAAACAGGAATTGAACCCATACTGTTAGCATCACCCCGAAACCATGGCCTCCTCCAGACCCATTAATTTACCATTCAACCTCAACCTGACTCTTCAGTGAGACACAACCCCTCAGTGACGTGGTCTGACTCTGATTACAGCTCGAGGCTTGCAATTGAATCTAAACTGCAATTACAAGCAACAGCACAGCCATTGATATTGTGACTTGACCTGGGACTGTTCAGAGCTTGGAGCCAAACCACTGAGAGGCCCAGGGAAGGAAACTGGGATTGTGCAAGACATTAAGATTGAACTTCAAGTTAGAAGCTAGGTTAAAACTGAGGAGAAATGTATAATTCTGAAGAGATACTGGTGGATTAATAGATGAAAAAAAAACCGCAGGTGATTTGGTGACGGGAAAACAGTTTTGTGTAAGAGCACTTCTGGATTTATGAAAAAACACTAATTCTGAAAAGTCAAGGCCATGGGACAGTGCAGCAATTTGGCTAAAGATAAGCAGAGTGATGGATCAAGAAGTTTAATGATATAGTGCATCAGAGAATGAGATCAACTAGGGGAAAATGACAAAAATAGATAAAATTAAAGGCACTTCATCTGAATGCATAAAGCATTTGTAACAAGGCAGAAAAGTTAATGGTGCAAGTACAGATAAATGGGTTTGATCTAATAGATATTACAGAGATAGGACATTGGTTGCGTGGTGACTAGAGTTGGGAACTAAATATTTTAGGCTACTCAACAGTTTAAAAAAGCAGAGGAAAGATAATATAGTGGCAAGAAAGAATGACATGAGGGTGATAGTGAGGAAGGATTTTGACTTGGAAGTTCGGGAATTAGAAAGAACATGCACAGAGATAGCAAACCCACTAACATGAATACCTGACAATCACCATCTCCTCCAACAGAGAATTTAACCATCTCCCCTTGACATTCACTCGTAGAAACATTATAATTGGGAAGAGTAGACCACTCAGCCCCATAAATCAATAAAATCTGATTACTCCGCATGCCTGTCTACCCATTATAACCTTTCACCCCTTTGTTTATCAAGAATCTATGTACCTCTGCCTTAAAAATATTTAGGGACTCTGCTTTCGCTATCTTTTGAGGAAGAGAGTTGTAAAAATTTACCACCTTCTGTGGTATTCAATGGCATTACCATAGCTGACTCCCATCACCATCAACATCCTAGGGGTTACCACTGACCAGACACTGAACTGGTCTAGCCATATAAATACAGTGGCTACAAGAGCTGCTCAGGGGCTGGGAACACTGCAGTGAGTAACTCACCTCCTGATTCCCCAAAGCCCTTTTGTCTTCTGCAAGACACAAGTCAGTGGTGTGATGGAATACTCTCCCAGAACTAAAGGACGATTAAACTGCTAATCATCGGGAACATGCAGGAATCCATCATTAGGCAGTGGTAGCAGGGCACTTAGAAAATTGCACTGTGACTAGCCAGAGGTGACATTTTTATAAATGGAAAAACATGTTTGACAAACGCATTTGTGGGTGTAACAAATAGGATAAATTTAACCAAAAAGATTTGTATTTGCATAGTGCTTTCCATGATCACTGTATGTATCAAAAGTCATGTTACAATGGAGTACTCTCAAAGTGTGGTCACTGGTATGTTAAAGGAAACATGACAGCTAACCTGGGTGGCACAGTGACTCAGTAGTTAGTACTGCTGCCTCACAGCTCCAGGGACTGGAGTTTGATTCTAGCCTTGGGTGACTCTCTGTGTGGAGTTTATAGGTTCTCCCTGTGTTTGCATGGGTTTCCTTCAGGTGATCCAGTCTCCCCCCACAGTCCAAAAATATGCAGGTTAGGTGGATTAGCTGTGGGAAATGCAAGTTTGGGTGATAGGGTAGGTCTGGGTGGGATGTTCTTTGGAAGGTCAGTATGGGCCAAATGGCCTGCTTCCACACTGTTGTGAATCTGCGCATCGCAATCTCTCTCCAATAATGGCCAAATAATCTATGCTATTGTGATCCTGATTAAGAAATTAATGGCCAAGACACAAGGAATAATGCCTCCAGATCTTCTTCAAAATAGTACCATGGCTTCTTTTGCATTCATCCAAGGCTCTGAGTTGACATCTCCAACAGTGCAGTATCCTCACAATGGTGCATTAATCTTGAATTTTGTGCTTAAGCACTGGAGTGGAGCTTGAATCCAGAATCTTGTAGCTCAGGGACAGAGGATTACCGACAAAGCCACAGCTGACTTTGCAAGAGGATACTGTCAAATGTAATATGTTTGGGTTTTCAAAAGATATTTACAAAGGGACGCACTAGGGTCTAGAGTTGCACCAGACCACTTTAATACTTCTTCTCATACTTGACTTGTCGATGAGGTTCCCTCCACACATTGGAACCATCATTGAAAAAGCATCCACCTCCATAAAGCCAACTCAATCTGTTCATGGCTCATCTCATCCACTGCTGAAACTATCATCAGTCCCTGTGTTTCTGCTACACCTCTTATTACCAGGCACACCTGGCCGAGCTTGCTATTTATTACTGGAGTTAAAGAGAAAAACTGTTCATTATTTCAATATTTACATTCACTTCTCTCTTAACAGTCTCAAATAAATCTGATGCACTGCATTCATCAGGGAGAAATGGCTAAACAGAGACAATTCTTCCTGTGACATTTCACACACAGCAAAGGGTGACAAAGCAGTTTGGTGAATGAATTGCAATCCACACATTTGAGGGTGGTTAACAGATCTCTGAACAGAATTTCACACAGCTCGTTAAAAATAACTAGAGCAAGTTAGTTCTGTTACTGGAATAACAGCTGTTGATAGCATTATTTGAAATTTATTAAGCCTCTGTGAAACCTTTCTAGAGTCTTCAATTGCCCTGAATTTGAGAAATACCTCAATTTACGATCAGTGGAATATGACTAATTGTAACAATAATGTTTTTACCATCACACCTTCGCTATTAACTCACTTTATACAAACTCCTGGCATTAACTCCCTTACTCTGTACAACACCCACGATTAACTGCCCTTTTCTATATGACACCCTGCTATTAACTCCCTTACTCTATAAAATCCCCCAACGTTAAGTCCCCTACTCTATACAATGCCCTGCCATTAACTCCCCTAATTTATAAACCCCCCCCGACTATTAACTCCCTACACTATACGATATCCAGCAATTAACTCCTTATTCTACGCGACACCTACCATTAACTCCCTACTGTATGCAATACCCGCCACTAACTACCCTACTCTATACAATCCCCCACCATTAACTACCCTGATCTAAACAATTGCCCACCATTAACTGCCTATTCTGTACAACTCCCCCACTATTAACTCCCCTGTCCTGTACAGCACCTCACCGTTAATCCCCCTACTCAACACAACCATCCACTATTATCACCCTTACTCTATAAAGCCACTCACCATTAACTCACCTTCTTGATGCAATCCCTGCCATTAATATCCCTACTTTATACAAACCCCCATCAACTCACCACCTCTATACAACGCCCTGCCATTAACTCCCCTACTCTAAACAACTGCCTGCCATTAACCTCCCTACTCTAAACAACACCCCAAAATTAAGTCCCCTACCCTAGACAATCCCCTACCATTCACTCCTCTATTCTATACAACATCCGCCATTAACTCCCCTACTCCAAACAACTACCCACCATGAACTCCCCTACCCTATTCAAGCCCCTGCCATTAACTCCCCTACTTGAAACAACCCCATGGCAGTAACACCCCCTATTCTATACACACTGCCATTAAGCCCCCTACTGTAAACAACCTCACACCATTAGCCCCTTTACTCTGTACAATCCCCTCCATTAACTCTACTTTATGGAAATCCCTGCCATTAACTCCCCCACTCTACACAACCCATACAGTCATAGAATCATACAGTAGTAAAGCATGGAAACAGACCCATTGGTCCAACCAGTCCATATTGAATGTAATCCCAAACTAAATTAGTGTCACCTGCCTGCTCCTGGCCTATATTCCTCCAAATCATTCCTGTTCATATACCCATCGAAATGTCGTTGAAATGTTGTAACTGCACTTGCATCCACCACTTCATCAGGAAGTTCATTCCACATGTGAACCACCCTCTGCGTAAACAATTTGCCTCTTATGTCGTTTGATAAATCTCTCCTCTCACCTTACAAATGTGTTCCCTAGTTTTGAAATTCCCTATCTTAGGGAAAAGACAACTCCCATCAACTCAATCTATATCTCTCATTATTTTA